ATTTCTTAGTTTTGGAAGAATTACAAAAATCGCGGGATGGAATTTTTAATAAATTGATCACGGAATTAGGAACGCGGTATGAAGCCCTGACGCGCCATTTCTCCTCCCGACGCAATTTCTTACTTTTTGCAAAAATCACTATGAACGCAGAAAAAATTTAGGAATATTTTATATGAATGGAGAATGCAAATTTCTTAGTTTTGGAAGAATTACAAAAATCGCGGGATGGAATTTTTAATAAATTGATCAGGGAAATCAGAATGCGGTACGAAGCCCTGACGCGGCATTTCTCCTCCCGACGGAATTTCTTACTTTTTGCAAAAATCACTATGAACGCAGAAAAAATTTAGGAGTATTTTATATGAATGGAGAATGCAAATATCTTAGTTTTGGAAGAATTACAAAAATCGCGGGATGGAATTTTTAATAAATTGATAACGGAAATCAGAATGCGGTACGAAGCCCTGACGCGGCATTTCTCCCCCCGACGCGATTTCCTACTTTTTGCAAAAGTCACTACAAACGCAGAAAAAAATTGCGGAATATCTTACATGAAGAGTAAAAAATTCAGGATAACTGTTAACGACCAGAGACTATCTCCCGCTTCTAGAGGAGTTCCAAAGAAGGCGGGAGAAAATTTATAAAAATTAATAAACACCACGAGGATGAGTAAGAACGCGCAAGCTTAAGGTTCCGTAACGCGTGATGTGTCGAAACCCATGCGGCGCGTAAAAAAAGACCCGAGGAAAGGAGTGCATACGCACGCATCGCGTTGCAACATCAATCGCGAGGGAGGGAAACGACTGTGACCCAGTTTAGCCGAGGATCCCCGACCCAATCCGACCCACTGAGATAACGGAGTCGAAATAGAGTGTTAACGGTACGTCCCGGAACGGGCGATGCACGGAAATGCGTTTCTGGCAACAGAAATCGAAGTATACACTACGTATATCTACATAGCGAACTCGTCGATATTATCGTCGACTACCGAGAATCGATTGTCGTTATCATGAGTGCACAATTCGGTCCCACGTGTCGCGAGACGCCATTCCATGTGAACGGGCCTTAAGCGATTCGGCCAGCTTTATCGCGGGAATTTAGACGAACCGAAATAAGACCGTTTTGATGCCCCGCGATAATGTACAAAGAGAAGACAAAAAAAGCATAAGGGAAGACACGCAGTTCTAGCTGATAAGGAGGTGCTCCTCCTTTCCGCGATGTCTAACATTCTCGGGAGCCTGCGGATCGTTTTTCTCCTCTCTTGATAAGCCGATTTTGACCCCGACGTGATATCGAAAATTGGAAAGCGAGTTAATACGCATTTATCACGTACATATCAACGGCGACGATATTTTCGCACCCATGGGTCCCGATAAAAAAAAAAAAGAAGGAAATAAGTGAGGGAGGGAAAAGGAGCGGAGGAAAAATACAAAAAGAAAAGGGAAGAAAAATAGCCGAACAACGAATCACGGCGTGAAAATAGCCGCGATGTCTGCCAAAGTCCGTAACTCCTGCAGCGCATTTTTTACAACTTCCGGGAAGGAAAAAAAATATATATATATCTGTACATAAATATAGCGAGGGAGAAGAAAATAGACGAGGGTCGCGGAATCGAAATGAAGCCAGACAGTCCAAGATTCGCTATTCGGTGGGAGGAATTGAAATAAAAAGAAAAAAGGCAAAACTAGGTCGAGGAGGAAAGAAGGAAGGCGGATAATGTCTTAGACATAAAACAAGGAGACAAGCCTACAAAGTCGCGACAGGAGCTGGATAAAAACATTTCCGAAAATCTATATAAATTAGAAGCCGCAAAATAGATTATAATAAAGTCCAATCAATTGCAACGTGAAAAATGGATTTCCGCTGTCCAGCTGAAATAGAAATTTCAAGACGGTATTATGGTCTTCTCATTAAAAATGAAAAATGGCATTTCACACTTCGAATAAATTCAGTTGAAAGTGTTAGCCGGCTCCGGTCGTCGACGGCCTCCAGGGTGCGAAAAACCCGGAGGAGAGGACCCCTCCGAGAGGGTCCCCGAAAATAGACGAAAAAGGCCGTCCTTTTTCCCGAGGAGTCCATAAAACACCCAACGCCGTAACTCATCCAAAGCGCATCGTTAGACCCGGAAGCGCGGCTCGTAAAGGAGACGAAAAAGGGGTGAAAGGGGCAAAAAAAAAAGGGGATAAAAGGAAAACCAGGAGTCCGGATCGAGGAAGCTGCGAGGAAGGTCGAGTCTTCCCCTAGTTCGTCAACCTCTTTATCTAGTTACCCCCAGTTAAAACCATAACAACGAAATTCATACACATCCAGTGCGCAGAGTCTACATTCACTCCTAATATCCCCAAAAAAATTAATAATTGTATAATGTCATTGATTAAAAAAAATACATATATATGTTTATGATAACATGTACGGAGTGAGTAAAATGTGTCAGGTCGCGAAAATCGGCGGGTGCAATTTTCGATTAGGCGATGGGGATATTCCGGGGACGTCGTCCACGTCGGCGACCTGAGTCTCTTTTTCTTTTTTTCTTTTTCCTTCTCTTTCGAGTTTCTATTTATGGCGCCGGCCTGTGTACAGGGAATACGGTGCTAGAATTGTACGTGGACGACTGTTAGATCTAACTGTATAACCAGGGCCTACTTACGAGTCCTCGTCGTTAGAGACCTCGAAAAGCCTGGTGAATGATTAACACGTGATTACGGTGGTCCTAATAAAGGTGGTGAAACTCGTGAAATATCATTTGCCGAACAAACGCTATTTTTTTTTTTTTTTTCATTCTTCTCCAGGACGGACATATCCTTTTCAATAACAGAAATTCTGCAAGACCTCCGTTAGGACTCCGGCGTGTTAAAAATTACGAAATTATTCAATGCGCCCAGTTTGGAGGAATGTCTTAATAAATATTTGACTTTTTGGTTAGTGCACATACGACCACTTTCATGACGCCTTAACGTGGGGACTTAAGTGACAGAGAATTTCACTTAACGAGAGAAAATCTACCGGGGATGAGATCCACCTCGAAAGTGGGAATTCGAGAGGTCGCGATATCTCGTGGAAAAACCTCGCCACGAGGTTGCACATTCTCGGTTTATTTAATCGAGCCCGATAAGGCTACGAGTATCTAATTCCACGCGCCAGCGTAGTACTGTTATCACCGCGGCTGATAAATCGCTAACGGGTCTATTGACGCCGCACTCGCACCGAGAAGTCTTAAGTCCTCGTCACAGCGATGGGTGGCACGTTTCTCTCGCTTTCCGCCTCGCAAAGAGACAAGGACCGGAAATTGAGGAAAAAAAAAAAAATATACATCTGAATTTCGCGCTCTATACCGGCGATGCACTTACATAGATGCACTCGGAGTATCGCAAATTGTCTTCGCACCGGCGCCACGCACTTTTGCGCAGCAAGAAATTAAAGAAAGATCAAATTGTCGCGAACAGTTGCAAGGGGGTAAAAAAAAAAAAAAGAAAAGAAAAAAAGTTGCAAAATTTCGCACAATGGTCCACACCGTTCGCCGCAGCGGTGCACTCCCCGGAGTGCACCGGGCCGCGGTCCGCGGGACACTGACGCCGATCCGTGGCTGCGGGCCGGCTACACTTGCAACTGCATCCGTGTGTGCAGCCTCGGCGGAATCGCGAATACCACCGGCCGACCTTGCGCGAGTGGAGCCGAGCCACGTGACTCGCCGAGAGGTGGAGCCCGTCCAATCGGCGAGTGCATTCCGCCGGTGCACTCCCAACGCCTACTTGCACCCGCCACGTCCCACGAGGAGCGGAAAACAATTGCGCAATCGAAGACCAAGTCGAAAGTCAATCCGCGACTCATGGGAACATCAAGGACTGGACTTACTTCCCTCAATTAGCCCGTAGCATGCGTTCCACGTGGATGCGTTTCGCGGGAATAAAAGCAAAATCCGGTGCATGGAGCTTAACAACGAAATAATAGTCATTAAAATAATCCCGTAAATTGAGGGAGATGGAAAATGTTTAACGCAGAGAATAAAATCCCGAGTGGACGAGCTCGTTTAATTTCTACGCATAGGGGGTGTCAGGGTCGGAGGTGCCCTCCTCGCGGAGGAGGGCACCCCGATGTGCACCGGCCGGCGGCTCGGCGGGCACTGGGCGCGCCGCGAGTGCAGCGGTGCAACCCCCTCGCGATTCGCCAACCGCCGGCCAATGGGCGGCCGGTGCATTCCGGCGGTGCACAATCCGCGACACCTACTCGCCGGCTAGTGGAGTAGGATGCACTCGAGGCGGACCACCTCCGAGTGGATTTCGCGTGCACTGCGCCGGCCATGAGTACGGGCCGCGACCCAGCCACGTTACGCGGTGAAAAATGCACTTTTTACTCGGGGAAAAAAAAAAGAAAAAAAATGTAAGGAACAGAAAAAAAAAAGAGAAAAAAAATTACCCTTCCGCTCCCCGGATCGGAGGAACATAAGCGCAGTCAGGCGAGAGGCGGAGTGCACGCGTATCGAGCCAATGCGCGTTTATGCACCACCCCCTACTTGTTGCACAGGTGCCGCCACCCACCCACCCCCCCTGATTACTACCGCGACACCTACGTTGCATACAGGTGATCGTGCATCTCTTCTCCCCCATCCGAGACGAGTTCAAGGTCGCCGGCTCTGGGTAAATTTTCCGCGATTGCGCAATCGCCGGCTGATTCATTGATTAAGCCTCTCGGTGCATTTAATAAATTAGCTTATATGTATATGTGAACCGCCAGGTCGTCGCAATTGGATAACCAAGGAGACGATTAAGGTGGAGCATCTCCCCATTAATATAATATAAACATGGAGGGTACAAGGAAGTTCCTGAAACTCGTGAGACTAGTCTCTCCTTTAATTAGTCCATATTTTTAAAATCTGTTGTGAAAAAAAAATTCAACGGGGTCAGGACCTTCTTCGTACCCAAATTTTTCACGAACGTGTGATTGCTTCGGATGCCGCATTCGCGTCTCTCCTTAAACTCGGAAAATCGGAGGAGCCGACTTACCCTCGCAGAAAAGGGTGACATCGGTGAGACTCTCGCTCTTGAAGAGGTTCGAGAAGGCGGTCGCCAGGTTGCTGCCAAAGCTGTTCCACTTGAGGCAGAACTGCTGCTGATGAGAGTCCATGACGCCACCCCTGGGCCCACCCCCGTGAACCTCGCCACCCCTGTCACTGCCACCCTGCGCTCCGGAACGGCCTTCTCGATCGCACCCGTGCCCGGCCGCTTCTCCAGCTGCGCAGATTAACAGACCTCGGTTTAAAAAAAAAAAAACGAAATTCTCCCCGACCTCCAGGTGACATTATAAAAAATTTGACACCTCGCAATATTAAGGAATTCACTGATAAGAAGGGCCCCCCAATAATTGAGAGTATTAAATATAATAAAATATCAAAGTGTCAAAACATGTATATAACAATTCCCCAAAATTTAATTCACCGGAATAATTTCGACACTTCGTACGTATACGTGACACTTTCGCCCACCTTAAAACCTCCCCTCGTAGACAATTTGACCTCATTTCGTCCGCCGTCGAGCCATTTCATAAAATGCTGGAAATCAAGTGCTTTTTCATCGGCTCTGAGGATTATCGCTGCAATTATCCCCTCCCTCGACCTCCTACCCCCCACGGTGCAATGCCAGACCCTCCACCTTCCTTCATTTACTTTTAAATCACGTCTCATCAATACCCCAAATTATTCGCCTTTTCATCGGCGGCGAAGCAAACGGCCGACTTGCGGATAAAAAAAAATTCTCCATCGCGTCGTTTCGAAAGAGAGGGGGAAAAAAAAAGAAAAAAACGAAAACGAGGATCCGAATCACGGAAAAATCAGGGTAAACGAAGGAAATCGTGGACTGTAATACCCGAAATCCCGTGGTAGCCAGTAATCGGTGATAATCACCGAAACGCTGTAACAATTTTAAAAACGCCCTGTAACCGCATTGTTGTCTACCATACGAGATGTCCGTGTGAACCTGGAATCCAGTATCATACCCAAACAAAATTAGCAGGCCTATTGGAATGTTTCCGCGATGTAGACGTTCGTGTCGCGTCGAGTCTTGTTTCTGTCACTTTCATATACAAAAACCATAGCCGTCGAAATGTATAAAAATAACTCCTAAAACCGTCAACGAAGGGATAGGAGAGCCGATCACGAGGTCCCCGGTACCAAGCTCGACATTCCCCACACCTCGATCAGCATAATCGACCGCCCCCCCTAGATCTCCCCGAAGTCCCCGGATCATCTCTCGTGCCTCTCCGGCCCCATAAATCCCCCCGGCGCCAAAAACCCACCAAACCGATCCCATCCCACCGCAAATCCATCACCCATCTCGTGCGAGCTAGAAATAAAGCGCGGAACGGCGTTCTAAAACGCGAAGTCCCCGAAACGATCGTTAGACCCGAAAAATAAGAAGAAGAGAAAAAAACAAAAAAGAAGATATCAAGAATCAACGCACAATACTACCGCAGTATCCCGCGCCGGATTAGATCCTTATCCACGTATCGGTAAACCGAGGTGTACCAACCGACAATCTAGGAGTACTCCTCTCTTCGGTCCTCTTCCGTGTCACCTGAACCAGGGACCGCGAGGATCCGACCGCAAAAAAACCGGCCGCGTCGTGCTGTCGGTGCGGCTCGCGCGGGACTCGCCGGCGCGCGGGTAGCGGAGCCACGTGGGTCGCCGCGCCTCGGTTAGAGTTTTTCCGAGGCTCGGCGCATGCGCGGCGCGGCGAGTCGGGCGGACCAATGGGGGCGCTCGGTCGCCGCGCGGCCGGCCAATGAGGGCGCTCGGTCGGCCGACCGCCCGCATCGATTGGGCCGACGACGCGGCAACCCCGCACCCCGTCGCCCTGTTACCGGGCCGAGTCGGCCCGCGTCCGGCGGAGGACGCGGAGGTACGGCGAGCGCGTACCCGCGGGTATATGGGTCATCGGGCGGCGATGCAAATGCGGTCGTTCGGTCCTCCGGAGGGGAGGGGAGGGGAATTAGCGTTAGCAAGTAGGAGGTGAGTCGACATCTCGCGGGGGGGGGGGGGAGGGGCGGAGGGAAGGGAGACTCGCCGCGGGCCAGGATTGCCGAACTCGAGTTTGCTCGTCCCCCTCTCCCCTCCGCGGTCGACCTCCGGTGCCCCCCCCCTCTCCTCTAACGCTGCCCGTCCCCCGCGCTCGCTAATCTAACACGTGCCAGGGCCGGCCGCCATCGCCCCCCCCTTCTCCTCCCTAACCTGCAATTCGCGATCGAGTCTCCCCGTAGAATGGCGACCACCCCTTTAGGACCCGTCGAGCGACAGCGACGCCACCACGTGGGAGGAAGGAACTTCCTGAAAATTCCTCAAATTTCTTTTCTTCTTTTCTTCCTCCATATTTCTCCGCATTTTTGCCATTACACCTCACCCGCGGTGGTAACGACCGCGGACGGAGAAGAGAGAGGAAACGAACGACAAAGATCGAATTCAATTTCCCTTTCCCCCCCCCCCCGGATCTTCCATTAATTACACGTCGCCGGGAGATCCGCGGCGTGCACTCGTTGCCCCCGCCGCGTTGCGTGCAGGCGGCTGCGCGGGGGGAGAGAGAGGGTGGAGGAGGGCGGCGGGGGGAGGCCGCGAGCCGCGGAAGGTCGGAGGAGGAGGGGCCGCGGGGAAGGGGGGCTCAAGGTCGCTGCGGGGCCGCACGCGCGCCTTCATCTCACGAACACCACTGCGCCTTGGGACACGCACGGGAGCGCGCACGCGGGCTATGCATAGTGCGCATGTGCGTCGACGCCGACGCCGCCGCGGCATACGCAATGCGTGGGCGGCAAGGCTGGTGACATTTTCGGATTCGGCGGGTGCGTCGCCTCGACGATTCTAGGTGATGCCGATTCGCGAATGTCTTGGTTTTTTATTTTTTTTTATTTTTTATTTTTTTTTCTTTCCCCTATTTTCCTCCAGTTTCCACGTGCGAGCAGTACCGGTGGGCGGGTTCCCGGGAAGAGGTTAGGAATTCCAGATTCGTGGACGGGATCCAGGATTAATTTTCTTCTCTTTTTCTTTTTTTTTTTTTTTTTCTCTAAGCCGAAAATCGGAATAGAAGTTCCTCCCACGCAATCGGGAGGTGCGCGTAACGATACGTGGCTCGGTGGATAGATAAGATCTGGAGCCTCTCTCGCTTCCCTTTTTTGTATTTCTCTTTTCTTTTTTTTTTTTTTTCGTTTTATTTTCGTAATTTCCGGCTGCGGCATCCTCGCACGTCGCGGACCCGGGTATAACCCTGACCGGCGTTGGACACGCACTAGGCGCGCGGCCGAGGGAGGGATCAACGCGCACGCGCGTGTGCGTGCGGATAAGGCGAATGGCACGTGCAAGGCCCGAGGGCTCGGGACGGATTCTCGGCGTGCACGCATATAAGCACGCCTTGCCTAAGGAAATATCCACGGGGAACGCTCGTCTATGCGGAAACGGAGAAGGTGGAGGAGCCGGAATCCGCGGATGGGAATTAAAAGTCCACGATTATCGCGGATCCTTTTAGGAGGTGACACGCGGAACGCCATTGGGTCGTTGCGCGCTCTCGCGGATCGGGGAGGGATTTTTCACCTCGCGAATATCCGCAGCGAGGGGTCGCCAATGCGGAATTAAAAAGGGGGTAGAAGTGGCGGAATTCACGGACGGCCCTTAAAAGTACACGATTATTGTCGATTTGTCCGGTAAGTATGGACCGACATTATTTGCAACCCCGATCCCACCACGGGCGATCTTGACCCAACTCACGTGGGGCAGGTCGCGACTCCGATGTCGATATACCGCTCTCGAAGCTCGAATGTATAATTGGGTAAACCTAATTCCCCGGGCCCCTGGAGAGTGCCCGATAGGGCGGATCTAGGGGGGAGGTCGAGACGCGAGGATATCCGGACCAGGCGACCTCGTCACCTGCGACCGCTGCCCCCTGGAGATATCGCGAATGCCCGAGTGTGGGGCAGGTCGCGGCGTCATGAAGGAGGGCGCGGAGTCATGACGGGGGTGGCTGGCCCAGGGAGGGACTCGGAGGGAAGCACCCTCGCGAATGTCCTTCCCTTAGGCCAGTGGTTCTTAAGGGGACGTCAAAGTGGCATCCGAGGGGTCAATCGTTTGCGAAAGTACTCCCCGAATTGGGTGTACCAATCCCTTTCAAGTCTTATCACCCCTCTAAGGGTAGGTCCCGAAACCCGCAAACTTTCATTTTCTATACTGAAATTTCAATACACCCATAAATGAATTATTTGTCAAAATGAAGAATCTCAATGACTCATCCCAGGCGAGACTCGAAAAATATCAATAACTCCGATATTTAAATAATTGTGGAAGAAAAAAAAGTGTCACGAACGCCCGATTTCTCCTTTTCCCGTCTCCTGGACATCCCGGAGGAAATCTCATTTCTTCTTAACCGCTAACGAAATCTCCCCATTTATTTCACTTTCGCTTGATAACAAGTCCACCGGATAAGAACCACTGTCCAATCCCTATCTCCCGCGTTGCGCAACGTCGTGGGTGAGATTTCCTGCGGGGGTGCGGGAAACGGGAGGAAAACGGGGATATCGCCGAGGACGAGGGGCTCGGCCGAGGGTTGAAAGGGCCCGGGGTAACGATGTCGTGGAAGGTACACCCTTCCAGGGGGATGATGCTCTCCACGGCTCAGTCGATACTGCAGCGCTCTCCCTTCCGCGGACCTTCCTTTGGCGCGAGGTTCCGCGCGAGCGTGTAATCGCCGAAGGGCGGAAAACGCACCCGGCAAGGGGTCGGAGCGGTGATGAAAATTTTCACGTAAGGGGGGAAAAAAGTAAAAAGGACTCGCCAGGGGAAATCCGCCATTTTGGGGTGGACGCGTCCCGGCCATCTTGTCTCGCCAATACGCGCGCGGAACAAAACCATACCGCGAAAAAATAAATTACTTGACGGAAACAAATATACATTGTTAATATATCGTTCCCTGAATGCATACGCAATTGCAAGAAAGAATGATTTTCTTGCAACAATTCCGATTTATAGGATTTTAATGACGGAAAAAAATTCAATTAAAATCATGATTAAAATTGTAGACGTACTCTTTGTCTTGAGTCTCTCTTTCCTTACGTTAGGGGTGGAGTTATCGGTGATATTAATCGATAGGAGCCGATATCGAGAGGAAGGTAAGTGCTCGGTGCACGGTCGATCGGGTTCGAAGGGCAGTTAGGGTCGTGTCGTAGGTTAGGGTTAGCAGGAGGGACAGGACGGGACCTCGAG